GCTGTAAAGTCTACCGAGAGACTGCGCCGCGTCACGCAGTTTTGTTTCGAGTGCTAGTTTCCGCTTCGTGCCCTGGATGCGAGTGGAGAGTAATGTGACTTCTTTCTTCAGCTCTTCCACCTCCTCGAAGGATAGGACTTCGTAATTCGTGCTATCCCCTATGGCGGTCTCGGTCAACAGGTACATGGCCACGGGGTCGTTGGCATTTAGGAGAGCCGAGCTTCGCGGGTGGGTCGAGTTGAGCTACCAGAAACGAAGAAATTATGGTCAGCTAGAATCCCAGGTTGGGGGTGTTGTATCTCTACTCACTGGGTTGTATCGCGACCGCTCCTCATGTTGGGGATCCAGGGCATCTCGATACCCGTCCACGAGTGTCTTTCCGTTCGGCGGTACTGGAGCTGGAGCATCGGAGGTGGTCATGGTCGAGAGATACCGTGGGTCCCCGTAAGAGGACTGACTAGAGCGCATGCTGATATTCATGGTCGTTCAAGGGCCGGGGTCTCCCCGATTATGTTGTAGAATGGTTCGCAGGGGAAATTGAAATTCAGGAACAGATGCCACGCATCATGAAATTCACTGGAGTTTGCGATGGGAGGGAATTGTACGGAGTAGTAGGTCTGATTTAGGAGAGTAATTGTAGAGAGGGATTCGATGTATTTAGCGAAGGTACGGAGTACGGAGTAGAGAGGCTAATATTAAAATAAAATAAAAGATGGCGGGGAGTGAAGGAGAAAACACGATCGGCATCACCTCAGAGTTCAGCCACGGCAATTTCTACATAGTGTACAGAGTAAATGATATGTTCGGTTTGATATTTTACACGTATGTTGTATGTTGTACATAGATTTAGATTCAAATATTGTAGATGGAGCTAACCCCTGAATACGTATACGAGATAGTTCCATGGTCATTCCACTTTCTTTGTCTCAAGAGGTGATTCGATGATATCGTTTATAGGGAATCCACTATGTCGTAGAGATACATTTGACTATATAGCTACAGTATACCATAATCAACACTATAATAGCTATAAATTAATCTAAGTAATCTCACATGGTTTATCTATCAACCCCGCTGTGTACTAAGTTTAGAGTACTTGATAGTACCTGATGGTACTTGTGCAATGCAGCGCTACAGTATGGCTGGCCAAGTACCGCCAAGTATCCGGTTGCGTGTACCTCGGGATTAGAGTAACATGGAAAGCCAAGAGACTAAAAGAAAGTGAAATGCCCGCTTTGTTCCATTTTCTTATAGCCCGCGCAGAATGAATATGCTCTGTCACACATCTCTGTGGACATGTCGACCTTTGAGCGCTCTCTAGATGCAGAGCAGGGCTCTCGACCTATCTACAAGGTCTATAAACGACGCTTCTGGGGTCTGGCCCAGCTGGTATTGCTGAATATTGTCGTTAGTTGGGATGTATGCGCTTCGTTTCGATTAATCTATATACTCGACTTTGCATGTGCGCTGACTCTCGTATACAGTGGTTGACCTTCTCGTCTATCTCAACAACGGCCGCGGAGTACTTCGATGTCTCGGAGAGCGCTATTAATTGGATGAGCACTGCCTATCTCTTTGCCTTTTGTGCTGTTAGCCCGTAAGTAGACAGAAATCGCCGTTTTGAAAAGCAAGAGAAGCAAGATAAACCCCCGCTCCAAGTATCCCCATTCACTAACCAGATTCCCAGCATCGTTATCTGGATCCTGAACAAAGGCGGCCCCAAACCAGCTATAATCACCACCGCCACACTTCTACTAGTCGGAAACTGGCTCAGATATGCCGGCACCAGAGCAAACGGCGGCATATTTGGACTCGCAATGTTTGGCCAAATCCTAATAGGATTCGCGCAGCCCTTCTGCCTCTGCGCACCAACCCGATACAGCGAGCTCTGGTTCTCAGATAAGGGCCGCACGAGCGCAACAGCAGTCGCCAGTCTCGCAAACCCACTCGGTGCAGCCCTGGGCCAGTTGATTGACTCGGAATGGGCGTCGAAACCCTCCGATATACCAAATATGGTCCTGTACATCTCGATCATCGTACGTGAAACCCCAACCCACCTTTGTTTCTTTCTCATCCTATCGCTCACACCTCGTAAAACCAACAGTCCACCGTCGCAGCAATCCCATCATTCTTCCTCCCAGCCTCACCACCAACACCCGCAAGCGCATCCTCTGCGAAGCCGCACACACCACTGGGCGCAGCAGTGCGCGAACTAACCAGCACGCGCGAATTCTGGCAGATCTTCGTCCCATTCGCCGTATACGTGGGCTTCTTCAACAGCGTCTCCTCGCTACTAAACCAAATCCTTAGTCCGCACGGGTTCTCCGAGACAGAAGCCGGTATTGCGGGCGCTATCTTGATCGTGGTGGGACTTGTCACATCCGCGATCATGTCGCCGATAACAGACCGGTACAAGCACTACCTGGGCAGTATCAGAGTGCTGGTTCCTGTGGTGGCAGTCACGTATATCGGGCTGATATTCGCGCCGGGCAGTGCGGCCGGAATCCCGCCTTCGTATGTGGTTATGGCGCTGCTGGGTGCGGCGTCGTTCGCCATGCTGCCCATTGCGCTAGAGTATCTCGCTGAAATTACTTATCCGCTCTCGTCGGAGATTGGGAGTACCATCTGCTGGACGGGTGGGCAGTTACTTGGTGCGTGCTTTATTCTCATTCAGGATGCGTTGAAGGCTGGGGCTGGGGCTTCGCCGCCTTATAACATGCAGAATGCGTTGGTGTTTGCGGCTGTTGTTGCTGTTGCGGCTGCGCCGTTTCCGTTGACGATTGGGCTTTTTGGGAGGGATGTTCATCGTCGTAGGTGGGAAGTTGATCGTGGTATTGAGTTGCAGGAGGTTGGGGAGGTGGCTCCGACAGATGATAATGTTAAGAGGGTTAGATCTGATGAGTCTGCTGTGGATACGGATACTCTGATCAAGACTTGAGGACTGTGTCACTCTCAGGGTTCTTTTGGGATGTGTGATCTGTCCATCTCAATGGTATGGAATAGCTGTGACATTTCGCTCTTTTTTATTTGCTGCTGCGCCATGGCCATGGTGCGCTTGATGAGTCTTTATTCCTGTTGTCCCTTGATCAGCACGAGTTATACCCCGTCTATTTTACCCTAATATTTTGAATTCATGACCACAGGAACTTAATGCAATTTGGGTCGATATATCAGTCTTAGTTAGCAAATTGAGCATACTTTTGGATCAATAATGTCACCATGACAATGCTGAACCGACTTATACTTGAATCTTGTAGTTAGATATGGCCATAAGCCTAGCCTACCAGAGCATAATGCCAATCTAGACAGATGAGATTCGTTTTAAAACAAGAGAATAAACAAAAGCACAGTTCGAACAGGCGGAAGACCAGCTATCTGTACACGCAAGGCTAAAAGAGGAGGGCAAATGATCTATTATTCTTTCTTGCTTCCTCCGAGCCCTCCTCCCTGCCTTGAAAACACAATACATATGCGCACACATACGCAAGGAACGACCAGAAAACAAAACTTCACGTTTCCAGGTCGATCCTGCGTTCTCAATCCAAGGCGGCAAGCTACCAGGCTATCAGCCCGCCTTGGCAGCCATCATAAAAGCGGGATTGGTTTTTCTTCCGGCGTTTCGGTCCAAGGGGGTCCCATATCGATGCGGTGGAGAGCGAAGGGTATTCGTGGGCCAAATCGATGCGAGAGTTGGATGGAACGCCGAAATCAAGACTCAATGGAAGAGTCGTTTACTTCAGCTCCCTCCAGAGCTTGGGGGCAGCGCAGGCGGTCACGCAGTGAGTGAGGTGGAAGACTGGGGTATGTTAGTTACACAATTAAGACTCGATGGGAGGCAATCCCATGGTTTTGTCTGATTCCATCGCTGATGTCAACTGCACTTACACTCCTCGACGCAGTCCTCCTTGGGACCCTTGTAGTCCTCATCCTCCTGCTGGCGGGTGACGCGCTCAACGCACTCGTCGTAGTGGTGCTTGTAGGGAGCGCAGACGGCGGAGTGGGCGCACTCTGAGAATAATAGTTAGTTTCCGATCGAGAAAGCTGGTGAAATTCTTCTTTGCAATGCCATTGGCGGTTTTATAACCGATGCGCGGATCCTGACACATAAGACCAATTGGTGCGAACAACAGCTCGTGTCCAACGATCGCATGACATAGGCGACAATGGAACGCGAACAAAAAAGCAAAAGTTGGAAAAAACAGCAAGATAACTCACCCTCCTCGAGCTTGGGCTTGATGTCCTCAGGCTCATCCTCCTCCTCTTCTTCCTCTTCCTCCTCCTCGGCCTCAGCCTCCTCTTCCTCGGGAGCCTCCTCGGAAGACTCCTCCTCAGCGGGGGTCTCCTCAGCAGGGGTTTCCTCAGCGGACTCGGTCTCGGCGGTCTCGGTGGAGGCGGACTCCTCCTTCTCGGCGGGCTCTTCCTGGGTGGTGGTCTCGGTCTCGGTGTCTTGAGCAGGGGCCTCAGCCTGGGCCTCGGTGAAACCGAAGGAGGAGACGACGTCAGAGAAAAAGTCGGAGAGACCCATTGTGACAGAGATCAATTGAATGATGACCGAAGGTCTTGTGTGGGGGTGGAAAAGCGGAAGGGGGTTGTAATTGAGGGAGGTTGTTGGTTTTGCCCAAGAGCTGCTTCTTTCGGACTGGAAAATCGGAAAGGCCCGGCCGCTGAGAGACGCCAATTATGCCGCACGTGATTGGCCAATGGACTCCAACGCCATTCAGGACTGGACAAATGCAGTTTATGGGGAAGTTATTACTGAAGCTGTTTCTGCATGATCTAAGGATCTTGGATATATGGGATAATTCGACTTTTGTTAGCTGAAAATGAATGTTGGCGAGCATATCAACTCTTCCTATCTCTATTTCTTAAGTGCGTAAGAACCGCTTTCGTATCGCTAATTGCTAATTGGTGAGGACATAATGTACATGAGATAGAGAATAAAAAACGAGGCCATTTCAAATATGTGATAGAATGGCATGTTGAAATAGTCTCCCGAAAGATTAGGTGGCGCGTCGCAGCCTCTCCTCTAGCTCGTGGGCTACACTCTGCGACTGGACTTCCTCGTAACATGGAGGCGGCTCCACGGGTTCAGTACCGGTGTCAGATGCTCGACTGCTTTGCGGCTCTTCTGGTGTCTGGCTGGGTCTCGCACTTTGGCTAGCATTAGGTGGAGCTTCATATGCAGGCAACTCTTCCAAATGAACTGCTGAGAGATCCACGTTTTGTTGTCCCCGAGTGCCCTCGCTTGTGTTCTCAACAGCCTGTTCAAGTCGTTCCTTGATCCGCTCGAAGTTGGTGTGGAAGTCAAACGCTCCGCCTTCCTTGAATGTCACTTTCAACTGAACGACAGATAGGGATGGTGAAATGCCACCTCCAGATACTGGTTGCACCAAAGCTGTCCATACGTTGGGTCCAAAGAAGGGCGCAGAAACATGGGAGTCACGGACATTCAAGAGAGGTGACGAGAAGGACTGGAAGTCATTGCTTTTGGATGCTGGAAGGTAGACAACCTGTCGAGGGTTAACATGGTGGACAGGCAGGGATGTAAATGAATACTGACTCTTTGGTTGGTGAGGTGGATGCAGCCGGCACTGCTTTGGATTGAAAGTTTCTCTGCGCCTTTGTATCCAGACGGCGGAGTCAAAGAGACACTAGTACGAGGAGGAGAGGAGTAGATCAAACGTTCGTTGGGAAGACGGACGAAGTTGTCTTGGTCATCGAGCATTACCCAACTAGGCAGTCAGTATAGATGTTTCAATGTTATATGGGTCTGGTCCTGGCCCAGAGAGAAACAGCCATGAAAGCAGAGGCATACTTGAGAGACATGATGCAAGATCATTCCAGGCGCATGTGACACCGTGTTTATTGGCCTGATCCCCAGCGGGAGAATGATGGTCAGGTTGGATGTCGAGTTGGAAGATGAAAGGCGGGATGTGTGAATATTGGGTGCAGAGGGCAAGGAGAGGGACCAAAACAAGGCCTGTAGATTTCCCCAAGGACGAGATCAAAGAGCCACTATTCAGAGGGTCTCGGGTGAAGTGCAGACTTGCAATATCAAATCGAGAGAAGTTGAAGTGGAAAGGCGGGGCAGGCGGGGAGACAAACCTGCAGGGGAAACTTCTACGTTGTACGGTGTGGAAACTGATCGAGATTTTTTTGGTGTGTAGATCATTTTTTTATGTTAATTTCTATAGTATACTATGTATATAATTTGATAATATTAACTATCTACCTAGGTATGTACATAAAACACATTGTCCCCACCGTGTTAAGCTTAATGCTTTACGCCCTTCAATGCGCTTGGCTATACCTAGGTAGCTTCCAGGCCGATCCTCAAAAAAGAAAAAAAAAAAAAGAAAAAAAAGTCCTGGAATAGCTGCATGACGTTTTGATCACCGAATCCCAACGCTCGGCATACTTTGGTAGGTTGGATTTATTTGATTGGAAAGTTGAAAAGTTGATCTTATTGATCTCATACTGGGATCCACGGGACATATGTCATAGTTTCAAAGCTGTTCTCAGTGTGACTGATCATATTATTAGCATATGTAACATGTTACAGTCGCACATACACACAGAACAAGAGAATACTTTTCAAAGTCCAAGTTCAATAAGTTGTCAACTTTCCAAGTTGTTAGCTACCAAGTTCTCAATGTCACGTTCTAGAAGCGTCCGAGTCAAAGCGCGCTAAGACTCTCAGACCTTCCATATTCGAACTTCCAACTCTTCCCCTCTTCTTATGTTTTCTTCTTTAATTTCATGTTCTGATAACCTGTCTATCAAATATATCGGATAGTCTGTGGTGATCTGAGGCTCGAGCCAAGTATGTGGATCCCAAGCTCTTCCGGCTAGCCGTACTCACGTTCATCTTTTCTCTAGGGACTTCATGTCGACACGATCATAACCCTTTCCCTTTTCACGACTCAGCCTTCTTTCCCGGAAATTGTCCATCGGGCTTCTACGGCGCAATGGGTGAAAAAGGCCAGTACATCCCACCCCTCGTTGGGTGGATGTATGATTTGGTCCTTTGGACATTCTCCGTGCTCATCGACCTCTTCTTCCGCGAAGTCCACCCCAGAGGCTCATGGAAGATCCCCCGCCGTGGTCCCATCATTCTGGTGGCAGCTCCCCATGCGAACCAGGTATGCCGCCCGCTTCCGCTTCGACACACAAGATGCTAATAATGGATGTTCGCCCCAGTTCGTAGATTCTTTGGTGTTGATGCGCGTCATTCGCAGCGAAGCGCAACGTCGGATCTCATGGCTTATCGCGGACAAGTCTTTCAAACGCAAGTTCATCGGATTTCTGGCGAGAGCAGTTGGGACACTGCCCGTGGCACGTGCTATGGATAACTTGAAACCCGGGACCGGCACCATCTACCTTCCCGACCCGATCAACGAGCCAACTCTGGTGCGAGGTGTTGGAACCAACTTTGAAGGAAAGGGCTTCGAAAAGGATGGAACCATTGCCCTACCAACCATCAACGGAACGTCACACAGTACTGCGATCGCCGAGATCAAGGGACCCGAGGAATTGGTGCTTAAGAAGCCTTTCAAGCACAGGGATGCACTGGCCCAACTTACTGGACGCAAAGACATTGACCGTGATGGAAATTTCACTGGAGATGCATCCGAGCAGGATCCAGATTTCAAGGGCACCAAATTCAAGGTTGCTCCTCATGTGGATCAAACCGCAGTCTATCAGGCAGTATTCAAAAGACTAGGCACAGGCGGCTGTGTCGGTATCTTCCCGGAAGGTGGAAGCCATGACCGTACCACACTGCTTCCCTTAAAAGGTAAGCTCTTCTCTTTGTGTTCAAATGATCTGAAAGATTTACTGACATGACATAGCTGGTGTCGCCCTGATGGCTTTAGGCACCTTAGCTGAAAACCCGGACTGTGGTTTGAAGATCGTGCCTTGTGGTATGAACTATTTCCATGCCCACAAGTTCCGCTCCAGGGCCGTTATTGAGTTTGGTACTCCAATTGAGATTCCCTCGGAATTGGTGGAGCAATTCAAGCAAGGTGAACGACGTGAATCCGTCGGTGCTTTGCTGGAAATCATCTACGGAAGTCTCGTCTCGGTCACTGTCACTAGTCCTGATTATGAAACTCTTATGGTAAGCTTTTTTCCACTTCGGAAAATATGCTTCCGCTAACAATTCAAAGGTCATTCAAGCTGCCCGCCGTCTGTACAACACCAAAGGCAAAAATCTTCCTCTTCCTATGGTTGTGGAGCTGAATCGCCGTCTTGTGAAAGGTTACGCCCACTTCAAAGACGATCCCCGGATCGTCGGACTACGCAAGTCTATTGTAGGATATAACAAACAGCTTCGGATTCTTGGAATCCGGGATCACCAAGTGGCCTACGCCAAGTTCTCTATCTTACAGGTGGTTGCCACGTTGATTTACCGTCTAGGCAAATTAGCGCTCTTGGCAATCGGGACGCTTCCCGGTTTCCTGCTCTTTACCCCCGTTTTCATCGCAACCAAACACCTCTCCGCAAAGAAGTCCAAGGAAGCACTGGCTGCTTCTACGGTGAAACTTCAAGGCCGAGATGTCATGGCCACATGGAAGCTTCTTATTGCCCTTGCATTTGCTCCGGCACTCTATGCCTTTTACACTGCTTCCCTCACTTATTGGACGTACTGGAACCGAGTTAATGGAATGGTTCCAGGCTGGGTGCCGCTTTGGTTGGTAGTGTTGATCGGCATGGTACTCTTCCCCACAATCACGTTTGCGGCTCTTCGGATCGGTGAAGTGGGCATGGACATCATCAAGTCGCTTCGCCCGCTTGTTCTATCTCTGAACCCATCATCGGCCAACACGCTGGTGAAACTTCGAGAGAGACGCGCTGCACTGGCTCAGCAAGTGACAGAGGCAATCAATACCATGGGACCTGAGCTGTTCCCCGACTTTGATGCCGCTCGGGTTGTCACCGATCCATTCCGAGAAGCGGGCAACACGGATACAAAGGCCGAAAACGAATTGCCGGAGATTAGAAGAACCAGCGTATCAGATCATGTCGAGAAAATGCCCTCGTCAGAGCCCCTTCCTCGCAACGAGTCCTTCCACAACCTCGCCAACATTGGCTTCTTCTCTACACGACCTCCTAGTCGTGATCGAAGCCGCAGCAGATCTGCTAGCGCCCGACCTGGCTCTCGGCACGTACTGAAGCCGCTCAGCCCTCTCACCCAAAAAGACCCACTTGAGGACGTCAGTTCACGGATCCGTGATGCTATGAGGGAGCGCGGAGAGCGTCGTCGGCGTCGAAGTGAAGATGGAAGCTGGGATATGGCCAGCTCGGGCCCTGGAACTCCATCCAGCACCGAAGAATCCCGAAAAGATCTTTGAGATGTGGACTGCCTGGATCAGTTAAACATCTATCATCCCGATCATCAACCACAGTGTTCAACGCAAAGCTGTGCATGTATTTGCTCTTATATAACCATTCAAGATATCCTGTCTGTTTTTTTATGATTATGAATGTCATCAAACATCCACCTGGGGATCAACTAGTTATTGAAGACATCCGATACTAAGCGTAATTAATAAGTGAGCACTGTGTACAATCATCGCAAAGTGATCAATTGAATATAGGGCTTTTACTACTAGCATAGGTAATTCACACTAACCAACATATTAAGATATTTTTGTGTTTTTCGGATAAATCAGTTTATTATAGTCATACCTCGTTAAAAGACAGGCATACGCGGCCGACTACTCTTTTGTTATGATTATGACTATAATTATGAATATACATCCTAGTCCTATAGTCACCGGCATAAGTTATAGATATGTAAAACCCGAATGACATAGCCCAAAGCAACATACTTTTCAAAGCTATAGGCACCTTCCAAGGTCAACCAATTATGAAGATGTTGGCTGATGCCCGGGGCTGGGCTGATCTTGGCCGATTCATTTTTTGCCTCGCCACTTTCCACGGGGCTTACGTTAAGAGTAGGGGCGAAAAACAGCCTAGAGTCTAAAATTGCACATGAAAATAGTGTAGCCTAGGTACTTTAATAGTGCATTACCTCAAAGATTATTCTAAAAATTGATAGCAAAGACTGTCATCTTAACTGACCACGTCGCGTTTTGTAGTACAAAACCGAATCCGGCCAGCCGCTAACCGTGCACCTTTTATCTTCTATTCCGTATCCAGTCTCTACCCCAACTCCTCGATTTTTCTACGGAGTTTAGGGGGCTTATAGTCTTTTCACATATTCATCATGCCTTCAATGCATCTGTCGCGTCTCCGAAACTGGTTCCTCGCCTCTCCGCCTGCCGAGTACGCCATCACAAGCCTTAAGGAACTGCTGATCGGCGCACTCCAACAAGGCCCTGTCCCCCAGCATGTGGCCTTTGTCATGGATGGAAACAGGCGCTTTGCCCGGTCACATGGAATTGAGACAGTGGAGGGACATAATCTGGGGTTTGAAGCTCTTGCAAGAGTGAGTGCGACCATTTTGGCAGCTCGGCTTTACACAGCAGCGCCCGTATTGTGGTCGATACTAACGACCGATAGATCCTCGAAGTCTGCTACAAGAGTGGAGTGAAGGTAGTTACGATCTACGCGTTCAGCATCGAGAACTTCAAACGCTCAAAATTCGAGGTGGATGCGCTCATGGAAATGGCCAAGGTGAAGCTGTCGCAAATGGCTCAACACGGAGACCTGCTCGATCGATACGGAGCAAAGGTTCGCGTCCTGGGCCGTCTGGACATGCTCAAGCCAGATGTTTTGGAGGCCGTCAACAAAGCCGTCGACATGACCAGCCGCAACGGAGACCGCGTCCTAAATATCTGCTTCCCCTATACCTCCCGCGACGAGATCACCTCCGCTATCCGTGACACGGTCGAGGATTATACCACGCCGATTCAACAGAGTCGCTCCGCGGCTGCCGCTTCCCGCTTCTCGGAATCCCATATCGCAGATAATATCCGAGCCCAGACGCTCGGCTCGACAACACAAGAATCTCACAGTGATTCCGAGTCTACGTCAGGCTCTTCGGCACAGGATGACGACGCATTTCCTCGGCACGAATACTCCGACCGAGTGTACGGATCGGTATCTTCCTGCTCCTCGTCCACAACCCTCCACCTCGGAAACCAGCAAGATCCCAAGGGCGGCTCGCCACCGACACCGGGGACTGGGGCAAATAGCCCAGTCTATATCTCTCCCGAAACCATCTCTCGTCAGACTCTAAACGACCACATGTTGACCAAGGGTACTCCCCCCTTGGATATCCTGATCCGCACTTCGGGCGTCGAACGCCTGAGCGACTTTATGCTCTGGCAGACACACGAGAACACGGAGATTGTCTTCCTCGATGTCATGTGGCCAGAGTTTGACCTGTGGCACTTCCTACCCGTGATGCTCGGATGGCAGAGGCGGATTTCCAAATCCCGACAGGACCCCAATGCAGAGGGGAATTTTGCCGGCGACGGAAAATCGAGCGAGGAAGGCACAGACGCGAAGCTGTGGCGTCAAGCTGGAAAGGTCAAAGACATCTAGTAAATTGTCTATTATATACCCTGTCTCTACTTGTTTTTGTTCAGCTTCAGCATCACTGGCGTCTTGCTTTTTGCGGAGTTTCTGTTGGGCACACCTGACTTGATATCAGCATATATCTATGCATCGCCATACACTCCATCGGTCCTCGGTAAATAAAATATCATCTACTTCCTAATCCTCTACCTCCTATACGCCAGATCCATCCATGGATATCCAAATTTGATGTACGAGAGCAGGTGTCCTGTCTTGCCTTCTCCAGCTTTGTTCTTCCATGGAGGTCATGAATTATATCGCCTCCTCATCTCTTTCTGTATTACTATGGACCATAATACAACGATATCCTTTTCAACAACTGTTTCCCTTCACAATGTAAAAACAATTAGCTACAAACAGCAGGCGGTGAAGTGTGACATTTTGAATATATGCTTAGATAAACCCCCGCGCCGATACCGGTTCACGTGACGTTGAGTCATTTGCCGTATACCGGTCCCACAGAGAAGGACTGGCGGATGTGCCCCAGTTGAACTATCCCAACATCATCTATTATACCAATTGAATCAAAATGGTCAAGCAAATCGCCGGTTCCAAGGCCCTCCTTTTGGGTTCGGGCTTCGGTACGCCTCCCGTCTCTCCAAACATCCCAGACCCAAATGCGTCATGCTGCCCCGCATCGAGCTTCTTGAGTTATACATTTGCTAATTTCTGGTTATCCGGTAGTCACCAAGCCCACTGTTGAGGTCCTCAGCAAGGCTGATGTCGAGGTCACTGTCGGTATGTTCCATTGAATCTACTATACCCATATTGCATTGGGAATCGCTGACGATGCGATAACAGCTTGCCGTACCCTCGAGAGCGCCCAGGCCCTTGCCTCTGGCTTCAAGAACGCCAAGGCCATCTCTCTCGATGTCAACGATGATGCTGCCCTCGACGCTGCCCTGAGCCAGGCCGATGTTGTCATTTCGCTTATCCCTTACACTTTCCACGCTACCGTCATCAAGTCCGCTATCCGCACTAAGGTAACACTTCTTTCTATGGAGGAAGCGGGCATTTTACTAATTCACTACAATAGACAAACGTGGTTACCACATCCTACGTTTCCCCTGCTATGTTGGAGTTGGATGAGCAGTGTCGCGAGGCTGGTATCACAGTCATGAACGAGATCGGTCTCGACCCTGGTCTTGATCACCTCTGTAAGTGTCTATGCTATGGATCACAATAGACCGATGCTTATAAGATATAGACGCTGTCAAGACCATCCACGAGGTCCACGCTGCTGGCGGCAAGGTTACCGGATTTGTTTCCTTCTGTGGAGGGTTCGTTCGATCATCCCCATGTTCTATAGGGCGTATAGCTAACAAACAACAGCCTGCCCGCCCCCGAATGCTCTAACAACCCCCTTGGATACAAGTTCTCATGGTCCAGGTTAGCAAAAATCCAATGCTGAGTTCTTGCTTGAGCAAATGACTAACTAGCTCAGCCGCGGTGTGCTTCTTGCCCTCCGTAACGCCGCCAAGATCTACCAAGGTACGTGATTTACTTACATATAACAGAACCAAAGAATGCTAATGCAGAATACAGATGGTGAGATCGTGTCTATCGATGGCCCCGATCTGATGGCTACCGCCAAGCCCTTCTTCATCTACCCCGGATTCGCCTTCGTCGGCTACCCTAACCGCGATTCTGTATGACACCTATGCATTCGAAGACTTTGATTTCAGCCAACTAATTATCCCAGACTCCCTTCCGTGAGCGCTACGGTATCCCCGAGGCCCAAACTGTTATCCGCGGTACCCTCCGCTACCAGGGCTTCCCCGAGATGATCAAGGTCCTTGTCGACATTGGTTTCCTCAACGACGCACCCAACAGCGTCTTCGATAAGGCCACTTCATGGAAGGAGGCCACCAAGGAGGTTCTCGGCGCCACCTCTTCCTCCGAGAAGGATCTGCAGTGGGCCATCGCATCCAAGACTAAGTTCCCTAGCAACGACGAGCGTGATCGTCTCCTCTCCGGCCTGCGCTGGATCGGTCTCTTCTCCGACGAGCAGACCATCCCCCGCGGAAACGCCCTCGACACCCTCTGCGCCACCCTTGAGCAGAAGATGCAGTACGGCCCCGACGAGCGTGACCTTGTTATGCTCCAGCACAAGTTCGAGATCGAGAACAAGGACGGCTCCAAGGAGACCCGTACCTCCACCCTGTGCGAGTACGGTAACCCCGTCAGCTCCGCTATGGCCCGCACCGTTGGTATTCCTTGCGGTGTTGCTGTTAAGCAGGTTCTCGATGGTACTATCAGCAAGACTGTATGTTTATCCTTATCCCCTTTTCTCTCGAGATTATCTATACTCACTTATATTATAGGGTATCCTCGCTCCCGTTACTTGGGATATCTGTGAGCCTCTTATCAAGACCCTCAAGGAGGACTACGGTATGGAGCTCATTGAGCGCACTCTGTAAGGGTGAAGTCGAATCTTAAATTGAATAGATTTTCGGCCGGTAAAAAATATAGGAATGACATAGACGATGAATGAAATACCAAAGTGTGCATTGCTATTCTCTATTCCACGCCATAAATGGAATGTATATCCCTTTAGGCAGACCCAACTCTTCATTCGCAATTAGGATTGGATCCATCTTCCCAAAGGCGAGAGTTATCTAGACATGGGCTGCTATAATCATCAAGATCTTAATCTTGCTTGGGCCTTTTGTTTGACTCTTTCCCAGGGTATGTAGTTAGTACACAGTGCTGCCGAGGAAAGGTGCTACGCCCATGGCATTTAGACGGGGCAAGCTGTGCCGAGATTTGGGGGAAAAACGAGCAAGAAGAAAAAGCCTTCGATCTCTCAGGGGGATTCTTAGGAAGAGGCAGAAAGCGCCCCATCCATCTCGGTATCAGGGATGTTGGAAAGATGTCCTGAGATGTTCTTCCCAAAGAGACCCCCGTCAATAGCAGGACTTAATCTCGAGGCGATCATTTTAAAACCTCCGATATGCTCGAAGACCCTGGGGCTATCGCGAGGGCAAACAAAGCCCGGCAATAGAAAAGTTACCAGCACAGCATCTATAAAAGGGCCCAAGTAGATCAAAACATAAACTTATCTTCATTATCATAGACATAACACCATTCCTCTTATCATAGCATCATTGAGCCCAGCCCAACACACAACTGCAAGGGCCACACGGGTGGAAAAAAAGAAAAGAGACAAGAACTGAAAAAAGAAAGCAGGCGAATAATCTAGTTGCTTGCGCTTTTTGCGATCTTTATCTTTAGCCAATTCATGTTCAGAGAAAAAGAGGAAAAAAAGTCTTCGGACGAATGCATTGTTTTGTGTCTTTCATGCCACCGAGAAGAGATGGAGTCGATCAGAGAATACTGCCAAACCTACACCAACGAGAAGAACAAGTATGATTAGTAACTGATTCCAGTATTGCGAGGTTGTTGAAGAACGCTGAGATCTGTAGACAGAGGCCGGATTGGCAAAGGAGTCCAGCAAAAAGAAAGAAGGGGGTAATCCGAAACAGATGAATGTGTAGAAAAGACAAGTGGGAGGGAAAGAAAAAGGAGGGAAAAAAAGGAAGAAATGACATACCCGAAAGTCTGCTTAATGCTGCGAACATAGTACATGTCCCAGTTCTGCTTGGTGACATCCTCCTGACCAACAGGAACGCCAGACCAAGAAACACGCATCTGAGTAACACCATCGATATCATTCTGATCGAAGTTGATCTCCTGCGAACTGAAGTGACCCTCAGGCCACTGGGCAAGACGCCACTTCTGGACAATCTGCTTGGGCTCGTTGAGGGTGACGAACTCTCCAGTCACGTTTCCGTCGAAGATAGCGAACTTGCCGCCGACCTTAGCGCCCTCGAACTGGCGCGGCGCGCCGCGCGTGAACGCGGAGATGCGCTGCGGGTCCGTGAAGGTGTTGTAGAGCTCGCCGGCTGTGGTGCGGAACTCGTCCGAAGCCGTCACGGTGGTTGTGTTGACGGCGACCTTACCAGTCTTCGAGGTAGTAGTGGTGGCCTGCGCGGCTGGGGTGTCGGCCTTGGTTTGCGGGTGGACGGTGGCCTTGGGGAAGCCGATAGATGGGTTGACGCCTGGGGCGTGCTGGAGGTCCTTGCCGTGCTCGGCGATCAGGGCAGGGGTGAGGCCGGAGAGGGTCTTGCGGAGTTCGGCGACGAGCTTTGTGCGCACCAGATCCTTTACGGGCTGCTTGGAGTTGGAGTCGGCGTGGTTTTCAATCTCGAACTGCAGGGATGCGGTTTACATGGTTAGTGTTACAGATCACCTTGGGCGATGGGGGGAATGGGGTCAATTGAACATACGACGTACTCATCTTCCTCGGTGTCGTGGGCTACCTCGGGAATTTTGATGGTGCCGGTGACATCCTCATCGTCCTTGGTCTTACCTATGGAAGCGTCTCAGCTGCCAGGTCCACAAAAGAAGAAATAAAACGAGAAATTGAAATAAACTGAATTGATATTGGACTACAAACCTGAGTATTCTAGCGAGACCTTGACATCGAACAGAGTGATGACCTTGCCCTTGCGCTGGCTGACATCTACGTCGCCATCCATGGACAACACCTTGGCTACTTTGGCTGACACGCCCCCTTCTTCAACACTGAGGCCGACAAGGTTCTTTTCCAAGTACTCCTTGGCCCAGCCAGAGGCATCCTTGTTGACCCAGTGCCAGTTGTTGGGGTTGTGAAGGACCATGATGAATGTTGACTAGGGGAATGAAAGAAAATTCTGATTTGGGGTTGGAAAGTGGGTTGCTTCCTGTTTTTTAAAAAAAGAAATCTTGGGAGAAAGTGCTAAAAAAAAGTTCTGTTGGAAATTCCTTGTTAGCCATGATCTTTCTCTCGCAGTGGATGAAATTTGCATGTGTGAGGAAAGGCCAATGTCAGGTCTCGGGGCGTATCCCGGACTTGTTAAGCGTTGTCCGCAAGTAGATGGAGAATCATCTCTCAGACTGGTGCCAGCTGAAGTCTCTTCATGTAAGGCCAATTGAGTGCGGTCGAGGGGTAGGTTGCACCACAACCCTCTATGCACTCAAGGGGGGAATGTTGTGAAAGAAAATGAGGCAATTCAAACTTACAGTTGGTATAATCAAGTCCAAAACATCAAGGATATCAAGGACTCTGAGGTAAAGTAAAAGAGAGGAGAGTCGAGGGGAAAAAGAGCTATTTGAAGGCGGACGGAAGACTCTAGAAGGTGCACGTGACTGTGGATAACGCTAGCGACTTCTCAGTATCCCATGAGGTCATCTTCTTCACTGCCAGCTATATGCTTTGGATATTACTGCAATGGACAAATTATGTTCTTTTATTGGTTGAAAGATGTGTATATTCAACCCTCACATCCCTAAAGGAGACCAAAAACTCAAGTGTCGCAGGCACTGCCTCGTATCACTCGATCTATAAACGAACGAATGGGGATATCACGCTGCCGAGTACATAGCCAAAAAAAAAAAATTCACAAAAGCCGCTCTTCTATTCCTCCAATTGTTCCAATTCCTCCCAACCATTTTCACTCATAAGCTGTTCCTTAACCCGCTCTCTCAACCCCTCGATCTGGCTCCCCAGGGCCTCAGTCCACTGACCCTCAACAGTAGCAACCTTATCCTTGAGATCAGTCGTAAGAGCCAACTCTTCATCAGCACGAGTCTCCTGCATGTCACGACGAACATCCTCCTCTGCCTCCCCACGCTTAATCCGCTCCGCCTCCGCAAGTTTCCGATTAGCCCGCATAACAGCAGATCGCACCTCATGCAATAGACACAGCAGGTTTGTCTGCGACTCGATGAACTGGTAGCTCGATTTCTCCGCATGCGACAGCAGCGTATACAGATACTGCAGCGGGTGTTCATAGTAGCTCGGATTTTCCTCGTATTCGTCTGCAGGGATCTGCACCTGGAAGCCGCGGAGGTTCTCGGGCGCCTGCTGCACAAGAGCCAGGAGGGACGGGGCGATATCCCAGAATGCGGAGAGCTGCACCTCGACGCCTCGCATGACGTTCTGCTCAACGACATCCAGGAACGTCTCGAGCCGGCTTAGCGCCTCGTTTTCGTACTGAACGCGGCGGTTAAGTGCGTCCTGCGTGAAGAATGCTTGCGTCTCGCGTAGCTTGTCTTCGTTTTTGGTTTGTTTGTAGGGGAGCAGGGCGACGGCTTTGTATTTGTCGTCGCGGTCGCTGATCAGGTCGAATGACTCGCGGTGGAGTTGCTCGCGGGCTTCGAAGAGCCATTTTAGTTGTGTCAGTTTCTCTAGAAGCTCGGGCTTCTCGTCGCCTTCTTCCTGCGTTTGATCTGGTGTCCCGCTCTGTGCATCGTCTGAGAGCATGCTGCTCAGCTGGTCGATACACGCTGTTGCTCTGCTGATTCTGTCGACGAGAATGGCGTGCATTGGCTTGAGCACCGTTTCTTGGTACGTGTCTAACTGGCGTTTGACCATTGCCCTTTCTCGCTCGTTCTCCTCGGCAATCATCGCTGCTTCGGCCTCTGCTGCTTCCGCAAAGGTGAGACTACCTTCTTGGATCTGGCTTTGGATGTTCGACCTGAAATGGCGATGACCCTCGTCGACTTGTTGCTGGTGCTCTTGAAGCATTCGCTCCACGTCGGCCTTATACCGATGTCTGGTGGTTTTGATCTCCGCGAGATCAGTAATTGATCGGACCGTAGTTCGATGAGTTACCAAATCAGGATGGCTGTTATTCACAGCAGGATGGTGGCGGGGATAAGGCGGAGGCAGTGTGATCAACCGCGAGATGTCTAAATTGCGGCTTTCGCAACGATACCCTGTCCCGGTGGAATTCGCGGGAGACCCTTCATGCCAGCCGACCTTCTCAGGTGGGTACTCATCAGAGCCATATTCCGTACTTCCGTAGTTCATGCTCACATCTTTGGGCTGAGAAGGAGTCAACTCCTGGTCCCCATGCATGGCCTCCCGAGGCAAGCCCATGTACTTTGATTCCCGCTTGGATCGTTGAACCCTTCTCTCGGCCCCCTCGCCGCTGGAACCGGTTGCCGACTCCCACCAGCGACTTGGCGCACGGCCTCGAGAGCTCTCATCATTGCTCATGTTGAGACTGGCAATCGGCGACAGGCAAGGCTGGTAATTATTCCACCATGCAGACTCCGGTCGACCTGCTCGGTTTTGTGGGATATCTAGCTTTGGCTGGGGCTTAAGCTTTGGCGCTTGCTTGACCGGTAACTCGAAAAGATTGCGGCGCACATCGTCTACTTGGAAGGACTCCCAGACCTTGGAGTACCGCTGGCGCCGGATCTGAGATTCGGCAAGCATATAATCCGCAAATATCTTGAGTGCTTCGGTATCATCCTCGGCACTAGCTTCTTTGTCAATAAAGATCTTGTGTCTTTGAATCGCATCTTGTAGGAAAGCAGGATCTTGTCTAAGGATCGATTCCATGGACACCTGCGCAGTTTGCCCTGGCGTTCGGCGTGGGGACAAGGGTTTCATTATCGACACAGCATCATTAGGCATGTGGAGAATGTGAGAGAGTGGACGCTTTTCTGCTCCTTGGGAGGGTGCACGGGAGCGTGAGCGTGGCCGGACCTCTTTTGCTGAGTTGAGAGGCGGAGTTGGTAGCGCCTTTGGCGGTACTGGTACTGCTTGGCTGGCTTCTTTGGGATATGCTGACGAGCCCACTCCATTTGGATTAGGCGAAAATGGAGGCGTATGTGCAAATGCAGTCGAGGGACCGGCTGAACTGGGTTGTTGTCTGGGAGTTCCGTAGGGTGAGTTATCGCGAAGGATAGCGCTAGGTGATGCTCGAGTCCGTGAGGGAATATGTTGTCCCTCTGATTTAATGCTGCGACTACTGCCAGGGGGTTGATTGTACTTGCCCGACGTCGGATGCCGGTCTTGGTCTGGGCTATTGGTCTGGTTTGGTAGAATCAGGTTCGACGGTTTGATCTGATAGAGAGCGTCGGCCCAAGGATTACCATTCGGCGAAATCGCACTTGGGGGTTCGAAGACCTGACTTTGTCGGTTGCGTCGTTCAATTCGCCTTTCACGGATCCCCTTTGCACTTGGATCGCGGACTGCGGAGCTGCGGAAAAGACCACCACTACCGGGAGTTCTTTGATTAGATGAATCATGAGGATCTCCATCCGTCGGCTCTGGTGCCTTGGCCGCTTTTGCCGTGTCAACATATAAAGTCTCCGTTGGTCGACTGTTCAAATACCCCTCGTCTATCCAGTCAGCCGGCGTAGGCGGGATGCTTCCCAATCCTGTTCCTAGCACAGGAGGCCCCCTTCTCGCCGTCCTGTTTGAGCTCTGTGTTGTTCTGAGAGATGATGATTCCGACGAGCCACTCACGCTGACAGACCTCGCAGCGGGAGGAGGCCCTGGAGGTGGCGGCGGAAGTGGCATCCCGGGCTCCCAATTACTATTTGACGGCGATCGATTTCGCGACTGACTCGTTGCCCTCGATGAGCCCGCACTGCTGATCACGGCTCCAGCAGATGCGGCTCTTCGGGATCCAGGGGCCCGGGATGGTGTATCGAAGTGCGCCGGTGTTACAGACATATGCTCGTTAAAAGCGGGTGAGGGTTGGGCCTGATCATACTGTGCTAGCTGAGGCCTGTGGCTAGCAGCATTATATGGGATAGCTTGATCATTATAGGGCATGCCCTGATACCCTACTCGACCTTGAGAGACAGATCTACTCGATGGATGTCCCTGCGGGGGAGGTGGAGGAGGTAGCGACTGGCGCCCAGAGTCAGACGGGTAAACCATAGATAGTGGTCGTGGCCGGTTTGAGCGTCTTTGATACTGGGCAGGCATATCAAACGCGCCCTCCCTATTGTCAGGTGGAGAAGGCGTTCCGGCGAAACTAGGATTTGTCTGACCAGAAAAGTCCCGGGACATTTGATTTTGATTGCTGGGGGGTGAGTATGGTGGAGGAGGTGGCGACAAAGACACATCTACTACAGAATCAATATCAATCCAAACCGAATCTTGGGATACCATTGCTCTGCAGAGTCGTAAGCTGTGAGCGACACTCACCCGGATTATTTCTTTGCGGCGTCACGCGATGCATAGTGCCTGGCTGAAGATACGGGGCCTGCGCCTGGGGCCTGCCCGGAGGCCCCCAGTCCTGAGGATTATACGGAACATTGTATGCGTTTCTAGACGCCATCGAAGACGATGAGACGGATCTACCGTTAATAGGCGATGGAACAGCGGGCGATAGACCGTGAGTAAATGGGCTTGAAAGGGAGGTTGACGATAAAGGCGTCGGGGTTAGTCCAAGACCTGCCCCAAGACCCTGATATTGAGGACCGCTCAGTGCTGTTGTCAACAATGGCGGCTGTACAGCATGCTCTCGGCGACCTGGTGATGGAAGGTTACTAGGACTCGCAGCTGTCGACGACCAGCCCGGATAATGGTTGCTCAGCGGCTGCTCGACGCCTGCATGATTTGAACCCAACCAGCTAGATAGGGAGGATCAGTATGGCGCGTATAGAAAATGCCCGAGAAGAATGGGTCGCACCTATTCATACTGGGCTGTGCATCCATTTAGGAGGCCCGATCGGAAGCCATGGCCGCCTGGAATGGAAGAGGATGGCCCAACAGAACAGAGAAAAAGCTATTGGCTCGAGACAGGCGAGACGCTAATTTTTCTATTCTTTGCAACTGCGGAGGGCAAGGTTGAGGGGGGAAACAATAGCCTAGCCCATACGGAGCAGTACT